TGGTCAGGTTCAGTCCTATCCCTTATGTGAAAAGGACATTGGGGGAGGGTGACTAAGACAAAGTAATGATGACACACAGATTGTTGTTTGGTTGCTGGTACTGCCAGCTAAGTCCGAAAAAGCAACAATATCATTATGCAGTGTGGCTGTACTAGAATGAGCTCTTTGTGATCTATACATCCTTTTTAGTCTGGGTTGGCATGAAATCTTGTTATAGATTATAAACTGGATTGGAATGGAATCTTGTTAAAACAGATTCAGAATATTTCTAATTGTGGAGATTTCAGCAGTTTAAATTTTTAGAATTAAAAGAGATGATGGTGTCTGGATTTAATGTTTGATGTCAGTGTTTGACAGCAGTATTTATACACGGCTCATCACTTCACTGATACTGCTTTATGTTTCACACTTAACAATAGTGGGTGGTTTGTTTTTGGAGCTGTGCTGCTCACCTTCCTGCTGCTGGGACACCACACCTGACAGCTGTAATTGAAAGGAGGAAGGATGTATATGGGCTCCTGGCTTTAGTTCATAGTTGGCTGGCTCCACAGTAGAAACATCAAGGAAGATCGTTTTGGCTGGGGAGAGGTGTTCACCTCATGCAGCCAGGAAGAAACGAAGAAAAGATGCATCCCTGAAAGGCACGTCCCAGCGGCCTACCTCCTCCAGCCCAGCTCTGCCTCCTGACAGCCGTTCGCCTATGAAATTGTCAGTGGACTAACCCACTGATGATGTTAGTGTCCTCGCAACCCAGTCACCTTTCTAGTCTCCATCTGTGAATATTTCTGCACTGGAGATCAAGCCTTCAACATGAATTTTGGGGCCATGCTTCGTATCGATGACAGGATCCAGTATCAGTTTTAGTTTTGTAATGGTCAAAAGTATGAATAAAAAAATTTTTCAAGATCATCAATTTAATACAGAGTCATCACTTTTGTCTTCATATTTTGGCACATTAGAGATTAGGAGTATAATTTGACTTATTTTTATGGTGTTGTTTACTATATCATTTTATTTTTTTTTTTTTTTTTGGCGGAACCGGGGATTGAACTCAGACCCTTGAGCTTGCCAGGGAAGCACTTATTCCACTGAGCCATCTCCCTGGTCCCGTATATATTATTTAAATAGAAAGTGGGTATATAATCCCTAAACCAGATCAGTAAGGAGTGTGAGAGAGTCACTGATTCATAGATAACAACTGTTATTCCAACTATACAGCCATATTATTTATTGTGTCCTTTTCTAAAAAGTGCCTCCATACATATCAATACATTTGGGCTAACATTTCCATCTCTAGGAATAAGGCAATTACCATTTGGGAGATATTAGTCACTGCAGGCAAGAATCATAAATGAGTGCTAAAATTTATAGGTGAAAGTCTGCTGAAGTACCAGGTATTTACTCAGTCTCAAAATCTTCCTCACAAGATGCTTATGAATTACAGAGGGAAAAACAGTAGCCTTACAGTGGGCAATATAACAGTTACACCCCTAAGCAAGTGATCAGAAGTCACTTGACCAGTAAGGAGACGTGGCCTTCTAGCAGGGTTATGCTTGCCAGAATGTAGAGCCTGAATTTAGTCACTGGGAAGCCTTAGGCAAACCCAGATTGAGAAATAATTTACAAAGTAGGTGGCCAGGGCTGGGAAAATAGCTCAGCAATCTAAGTGCCTGCTTGGCAAGTGTGGGGAACTGGGTTCAATCCTGGTACCACACACAATATTGGCCCTGGAACCATGCCATACTGGCCACTGTAGCTGGGCCTGGTGGTACACGCCTGTGGTCCCAGTGCTGGGGAGGCTGAGTCAGGGGGATTTCTGTGAGTCCAGGCTGTGTAGTGAGACCCTGTATCAAATAAAAAATTAAAGTGGCTAGTACTCTTCAGTGTCCATGAGAGATAGACTGTCCTGGTTTGGGAGAGGCATGACAGCTATAGGCAGTGCACACTCCTGGATCAGAAAAAGGATGTGGGTGGGGGCAGCTGACAAAGTTTAGGTAAGGTTGACTATAAATTGCCTAATAAACTGTGTGTTGGTGGTTAATTTCCAGATTTTAGTCATTGTGACTGTGGTTATGTAAGATACCAGTGTCTGGGGAAGCTCAGTGAAGGGTGTTCAGGAATTGTTTGCCTCATCTTTGGAATTTTTAAAAAAATTTGAAAGCATTTCAAAATGAAGTTAAGCAACAACACAAAAAATAATTCAGCTCAACTGAGGAATTAAGACTGCAATAATTTATTTTGCAGTTCTCTTTTGGTTGGTTAGGAGCTGGATTTCTTTGCTTCCTGAACCTCCAGTGATCTGGATAGCTGAGGTTTCTCAATAAGGGATCTTGGGATCAGTGAACATGGTTGTATTGGATTGCAGATACACTCTGAAAGGGTTTTGCTTAATTAATTAACTTATTTACTTGTGTACAGAGCTATAATTACATCTTTGGGTGTCCCATGACTATATAGGTTATTTGAGCTTTGCTGTGCTAGCTACTAGAATCCCTGCTTGGAAACTTAGCTCTGTAATTAATTTCCTGGTTTGTTTCTGTTTCTGTTATACTGTTCCGAATTCAGATTAGTCCTACAGATTGTTCTGTAATGTGTCAAGTATTGAATTCCACATTTGTCTGTTGGTTAGAAAAAGCATATTATTGTATTAAGTATGTAAACTTGAAATACCATGTAAATATCTTTTTTTTTTTTTTTTTTAAGAAAAGACAATCTGGGGTTTCATACACAGTACATGGTGACTGGAAATGTACATGCTTAATATACCCTATATTGGGTATAACATTTTTATTGAGTAATAGTTAGAATGGAGGGAATTAATACATTGAGAAATGTTAGCAGGAATAGTTTTTAATATGTGACTTGTGGGTTCTTAAGTCCATGCTGTTTTGACCAGTGTAGGTGGCAGAAGGACCAGAAACCTGGGAGTTAAAAGACCTTGTTTTGTGTCTCAGATTGATTACTGGTTATGAGTATGTTGGATGGTATTGAGCTTGTCTGAGGTCTAGGTTTCTCATCTGCAGCACAATCATAGTAGCATTGAAACTAGAATGAGGTAGTGTGCAGTACTCTTAGCCTGCCATGGGATTTCAGACCTGTTGCTTCTCTTCTTACCTGCAGATGGGCTTTTAACTAAACTGTCTACAGCTGAGGAGAATCTGCCTTACATATAAAGACATATAAATAGTTGGTACCCAGATCGCATGAGTCTTTTGTTGTTGTTGGAAATTTTCCACATCTCTTATTACAGAGAAATTTTCTTTTATGCCACATTGGATATTAATCCCAAATCTGTCAATATACATGTCAGTCTTTTGCTAGACTTTTCCATGGTTTTTTTTTTTTTTTTTCCTTTAAAGAGTCCGTTTGTTTGTTTGTTTGTTTGGTTTTTTTTTTCGGAACCCGGTATTGAACTGAGGCCCTTGCACTTGCCAGGGAAGCGCTTATTCCACTGAGCCATCTCCCCGGCCCTCCATGGTGTTTTCATGTCCTTACCTGAAATCACTTGGCACAAATAAATGTCAAATTTCTTATGGAAGAAAATTCTATGAGATGAAGGTACGAAAAGATGTAGAGATGATTGGAAGGAAATGTTTGCATGGAACATGCAAAGGAACATGTTTGCATTTAAGTTTTAGGCTGTAGTTGGAGTTTTGATTCTCTGAGAAAGATCAATTATTGTTCCTATTTTATGCAAATATAAAAAATACTTTATTTTTATTATCTGATTTTAATATCCTATGTTTATGGGAGTGAGCATTATTATTTTTAGAAATTAGATAATGAAATGTTTAAGGCAGAAGGGATATTTCTGTAACTTCCAAGTGGTTCAGAAAATAAAATATGTGTGTGTGCTTTATTTCTGTGAAGGTGGGAAAGGAGGGGACATTAAAGTACGTGTGGCAACATTAACAGTTGGTGAATTTGGGTGGTCTGTTTTTTTTTCTCTTAACTTTTTTTTTAAACTTTTTTCTTTTCAAAAGTTTTATAGTTCATTGGCATGAGTTTGTAGTGCTTAACGATTGCATTTATACTGGGGAATTGGTGTGTGTACATGACTCAACTCACTTTTTTTCCCCTTCCCTTCCATTCCTCCCCTTTTCTTACCAGCATCAGATTCATATATAAGTCCTTATAAAGTGAATTATCATGCATACAGGTTAACAGCCGGACAGAACTTATTTTTAAATTTGAGATTATCTCATAATTGTCCTGGTATGCTCACTGGGTTGTGCTCCAGTTCCCTGAGGAGACAGAAGCTAGGGGCCATTTCAAAAGGAAGGTCTGTGCCCTTGGCAGCGCCTGGGTAGGTACAGAGGTGGTGAATAACTTAGTGAGCAGTAAATCACTGGCAGGGAATTAGTTTTCTCTCTAACCTTTTTCCTTAGTCAGAACAGAATTAATTTTATAGCAGTATCTGTGTAGATAGGAGAGTAAACTGATCAGTGTAGAAAACAATTTCAAGTGAAATCAGGTATAAGAAGTCAAGATTTTTTTTGTATTTTAGTCCAGGGTCTACAGGGTCTTACTACACAGATCAGACTCATAGGGATCCTCCTGTTTTCAGCCTCTCAAGTGCTGGGATTACGGGAGGGCACATGCCCCACCATACCCAGTCTCAATCACCATCTCAGCTTGCCACGGGGGTGGGGCTAGCAGGAAATCAAGATTTTTAAAGCAAGTATTTGTAAGCTGTATATAAGGGCAAACAAAAGCACAAAAGAGAAATTTAGGCATTTTGGAATTATCTAATATTCAGAATATCTTTCTTGTATGGGAGAGACACAAGTTAGTTTTTGTAATGAGCACCCTACCCTAATAATTAATGGACACTAATTTACCTTTCAGTTACTGTTTGGTTTCACAGATAATACTGATTTTTTTTACTGCAATTTTACACCATGTTTATTGTCTTTTTACCTTTCAAAATGAGTTTTCTAAACTTTTTTTTAACTTCCTTTTCTTTCATGTCCATGATGACTTCTCTTTTGGGGACCCAGGGGCCAGCCAAAGGTAAGTGATTTTCATTGCATGGTATTTGTGGAGATCTTCTGTTGTGTGAGCTTGAAGTGCTGGAAGTTTTTCCCTCAACATTGAAGCTGCTGATTGGCATGGTGGTGGGGAGGCAGAGGTTTATGGGAAGCAGTTTGCACTCTGACCAGTTCTGCCCAGTCTCCTAGCAACTGCAACACAGATTCCTTGTGTGCCATATTTTGGCACAAAACTGGTAGTCCCAAAGTGTGGTCACACTGTGGGAGGCTGACTCATTCTCTTGGCTCCTGAGCCAGCTGGGAAGGCTTTGCCGGGCCCTCAGAAACCTGCGGTGTCCCCAGCTCCAATTTGAGCCCCTAATATAAGCCAACTTCTGGGGTGTGGGAGCAGTTAGTTCTCTGTCTATCAGGAGACAGATGAGTGAACTGCAGGGGGCAAAAGTGCTATATTTCAGTTGACCATTCTCTAAAGTTACTTGGAACTTCCAGGAAATTCAGTTTTATCTGCATTTTTGGGGTTTTTATTTTAGAGGCTGTGGTTGAATTGTAATTCTGTTCTCTGTTATTATTACTAAAATATGGATAGACATCCAGTTTGAAACCCTGAATTAAAATATAGTTGAATACGACACTGATTTCTTCATATTTATAGAACTTTCTCTCTTTCCTAAGTGGAAGGTGCTGGATTATTTTGGTTTTATTTTTTGGTGAGCAGAGGCGGGAGATTGGAGTAAAGATGTTAGGGAACTATTTCATGACTATGTAAAAACTGTGTGAGCTGCATTAATTCAGTTCTATCGTAGTGTTTAGAGAAAATGTATGGGCTAAAATAATGAAAGAATAAACCTAACAGTCTGCACACAGCGGTTACCTCTTGGAGACATGTACTTGGCAAATGGGAAGATCTTAATAGTTCACTTAATGCTTCTGTGTTACTTGAGTTTGTTACTGTGAATTTAGTTTGTTACTGGAAAAAGGTTTTTTTTTTTTAATTTTCAGGAAAAATGTTTAGAAAAAGAGGAGCTTATCTACTTTATGAAATCTTTGGCTGGAAGAATCCTACAGAAATCTACAAAATTGCTCAAATTTAAGGAGAGGACCATTTAGTATTGTTCGGTGCCAGGCTTTGTGCTCAGCTGTGGCACCTTCATACCCAGCACTTGCCACTTGTGCCTGTGATTTCAGTTATTAGAAATGAATTTCATTAGATTTTGGTAGATATTTTGAGAGAAAGAAACCACATCCATCTAACTTTATTATAGCATATTGTCACAGTTCTATATTGTTTGCAATTAATTGTTTTCTGTGCCTACTTTATAAATTAAACTTTATTTTAGCCTTCTCTGTATAAAAAAAACCCCTTTAAGGTTGGTACTATCCATGCTTTTAAGTGATTTTAAAATTCTTGGGAGCCTTAGAATGTACCCTCTGTGGATAGGGGAGGCTACTGTGATTCAGGAATAGACGTCGTCTGGCCGAGTAGTAGAGAGTATGAACTCTTGAGCTGTACAGTCTGCTCAGCAGCAGGTTCAAATCACAGCTTCCTGACCTGCTGGCTGTCAGCTGCACCTCTGTTGTACCTATTTCTGTTGAACAGGGCCTTCATGTTTCCTCAGGTATTGCTGTGGTTACCTTAGTGATAGCTTTTCTGTTGGAATTGTAAGAAATCTGTTTGTTATAGAAATTCCCAACCAAAAGACTAGAAAAACCCTAATAATATGGAGATTAGGGTTGCAGAATGCAGACCTGGTCTGTGATACGTTTGCATACATGGCCTTTTGAAATGGGAGCTAAGCTTGCAAGAAAAGAGGAAATTTTCAGCTTTAAATTAATTCAGAATTAAATTAGAAAGGAGAGTTGAAGGCTAGACCCAAAGATAGTTTGACCATCACTTTTTATTTAATCTTATCCTGCTCTAGTGACTCTCACCATGGGTGACAACTGGGAGTGTAAAAGCAGCCTGAGCTACACGCGTTGATATGCAGTCCTCTGGGCCCCTCCTCAACTTTGTCAACGTGCTCCTCTCCCTGCTTGAGAACTGCTAGCAGTGGCTGTCACTGTTGAGCCAACTGCTGAGCCATGGGGAAGGCGGAGGGCTAGCAGTGCACAGTACTGTGGTTGAATGGCGTCTGTGGGGCTCCAGGGCTCCTGCCTCATCTTGGGGGTTGGTATCACAGGCCTTCTGCTCACCTCCGTGGCCTTGGCCCCCACGCACTCATGCCCCTCCTGACCTCTCATGTGTGTAGAGGTGCTCCAAGCCTTCCCTGTCCAAAGTTGCTTGGCTTGTCATCCTTTTGGGTGCTGTCAGAATCCTCTCCTGCCTCTCCAGTTGGCCTCCTCAAGCCCTCCCTAAACTGCTGCTGCTTTTAGCACCCGTCTTCTGCAGTGTTGCCACTCTGGCTTCTCTGTGGTCACACCCTCACTTCCACCAATCTTATGGCAGCTACTGTACTGTTTCTTTGGATTTCTCAGTTGGATCCAGACTCCAGCAAGCAATCTTGCATTCAAGAATTGCTCTCCTTTCCCCCCTCTTTCCTATTTCCCTCTTTTCCTTTTTTTAATTTTTGAGTTAGTTTTAGGTAGTGGGGGGGGGCGGATATTAGTAGGTATATCCAATTACAATCCGAATCTAATTCCTTTTCATTTTTTCTTTTAATCTTTTTTTTTTTTTTGGTGGAACCAGAGTTTGAACTCAGGTCTTTGAGCTTGCCAGAGAAGCGCTTATTCTACTGAGCCATCTCCCGGGCCCCTCTTTTAATCTTTTTTTAAAATATATTTTAGTACAGGGTTTATAGGGTCTCACTATATAGATTGGACTCACAGTGAGCCTCCTGTTTTCAGTCTCCCAAATGCTGGGATTGACATAGGGAGAAAAATTGATCTCAGTGGGTGACCTCCATATGATACAGGGGACCTCCAAATGATACAGGCGACCTCCAAATGATACAGGGGAAAAATGATCTCCCAACCTGAAAGGTACCTGGGACAAGTTCGTGTTCTCTAAAACCAAAGAATGAATTTTAGGAACAAACGAAGGTCATGAGCAGGATATATTTATTGGGGGAAAGAAAGCTACTGTCTAAGAGGGGGATAGGAGGGGAGCCTGAGCAGGTGGTCTGCCGGGAAGCTGTCTCTTCCAGGAACTTTTATAGAGGAAAACTGTGCACTAAGACAGGTCTAAGGTGGTGGAGAATATGGGAACTTGCTTAGGTGGGCATGAGGTGGGACAAACTATGGTCAGCCAATGAGATTACAAGCACCATTGCTCAGGTAAAATTTTAAGTCCAGGAACAAATGGGGAAGTGAGTCATGTAGCAAGCTGGAGAGGGTCTCTTTCTGTTGGGAGTTGGGTTAGTGACTCATTTGAACTCTTTCAAGGTGATTGATACCTATTTAGAATATCAATCCCTGATGACCATCCTTAGGGAATTATGTAGCTGTGTTTCCTCTTTTGTCTTGGTCCTGAGGTCTGGAGTGTCTATCTCTTCCAAGTTGCAAAGTCACCTTGTCTTCCATCTTGTGTCCTTGAGGGACTGGCCTTGTCTGACTGCCTATAATATTTCTATCTAATTCAGCTGCCTACAACAGGATTGCAGGCGTGTGCCACCACGCCCAGTCTCAGTTGCCATCTCATCATGTCCCGGGGCGGGGTCAGCACGGCACAGGGCGGTTCACACCCCAGTCCCTGTGCCTGTCTAAGCAGGTGCTTTAGTCTGCTGAGCTATCTGGCTGGCCTTCCAATTCTTTTTTTTTTGTCAGAACCGGGGATTGAACTCCGGCTCTTGTGCTTGCCAGGGAAGCGTGTATTCCACTGAGCCACCTCCCCAGCCCTTCTTTTTCTTTAAAAAAAAATTTTTTTTTTTTTTTTTTTTTTTTTTCGAAAAAATATATTTTTTTTTTTTTTTTTTTTTTTTTTTTTTTTTTTTTTTTTTTTTTTTTTAGTTTTCTTATGAGTTCACAGAGAAACATTTTCCCTGCCAATTCCAAGTATGTAACAGGGACAAATAAAATATTAGAAATATATGAGTCATACCTTCATATAAACAGTGTGCACACCTTTAGCAACAATGGGGTGGGCTGCAGCAGCATAGTTGCTTGGCTTTGGAATTAGATGTGGGTGCTTAAGGTGATTGAAGTTTGGCTGTTGCCAATCCAGGGGCTCTACCTGATGTTTGAAGACTGGAGCCAAGTTCACCATATGAAAACTGATTTGGGAATGGCTCCTCTGTGATTGATTGGGGGCTTAAAAACCTGAAAACATACTGGCCACCACTGTTGTGTTAATTGGCTGGGACAGTGGCACTGGGCCTCGGGAAGACCAAAGTCTGGGCTTACATATGAAGTTATGATGCGAACTGAATTTGTAAAGGTAGCCATCAGAAAGGGAAAAGGAAGCACAATGTAGGCTGTAACACACTCCTGGGTAGGGGACCCTTGGAGCCACTCTAAAGGAGGAGGACGGGTCAGAAAGCACAGCAGCAGGTCCAGAGCCGGCAGTATTTGATGGGTGGTAAACAAAGGTGAATTTTATTTTAATTTTATTGAGAAACAAATATGAGACAGTGTCAAAGCTGGTTAATAGGACAGTTTCAATAATCAATACATTGTACATTGTTATCTTCTTAGTGGTTATCCACAGCACAAGAAGCAGACAGGATATCCTGTCCAAACAGTATTAGTACAACAGAGGTGAATTTTAAAGCTGTTACATTTACAAATCCTTAAAAAGTTTAAATTATAAAATATACACAAGTATGTATAAAATTGACAGAATTCTCCAAAAATTAAATATATCATTAGTGAAGCAAAAATTTTATTTATTTATTTTTTATTTTTGTATTTTAGGACAGGGTCTACAGGGTTAACAGGGTCTCACTGTGTAGATCAGACTTGTAGTGATCCTCCTTTTCACAGCCTCCCAAGTGCTGGGATTACAGGTGTGTGCCACCACCCTCAGTCTCAGTCGCTCTCTCAGCATGTCCTCGGGGGCATGGCCAGCATGGCACGCCCAGGGATCGAACTCCTGGCCCCTGCCTCTGTCTAAGCAAGCACTTTAATCTGCTGAGCTATTTGGCTGGCCCTTGAAGCAAAACTTTTAGAAGATTGCAAAAGAACCCTGTGCATATTTTACAAAGTGGTAATAAGGTATAAGATGAAAATGAAAATCAAGAGTGCTAACCTTTAGTGCAGGGCCAGGCTCTTAAGCCTTTGCGCTCACCATGCCTCTCAAGGCCTCCAGTTTCCCCTCCTGAGATGCTGGCTGCTTCCCTTGGTGCAAACTTGGGCATTGCACAGGGCCTCACACAGGGCAAAGTGCAAGTGTGCCAGGCTTGATTTCACACATAGAAAACAATCAGGTGGTGCAGGCCAGTTTGAAAAAGTAGTAGGTGTCTTGCAGCCTCTGGACCCAGAGAACATCCAAGTTGGAGTTTACAGATGACACGTTCAGGAGAAATGTTCCAAAACAGTTTATACCTGCTGTAGAAAAGGGGTTTTTGGATGCCTGTGGGAAAGGCCCACTTTCTGGTCATAAGCTCTCTGGGCTCTGGTTTGTTCTGCAAGATGGAGCACACCATATGGTTGATTCCAATGAGATCTCATTCATCCGAGCTGGCGAAGGTGCTGTCAAACAAGCTTTGGCCAATGCAGTGTTGTATATCCTGGAACCTATCGTGGCTGTGCAAATTACAGTTCCAAATGAATTTCAGGGATCAGTAATCGTGGGAATTAACTGGCATCCTGGGGTAATTACAGGGCAAGATGGGATCTAGGACTATTTTACACTATATGCAGATATCCCTTTGAATAATATGTTTAGTGTTCCACTGAACTTAGGTAATGTACAGAAGGAAAGGGAGAACACACAGTGGAGTGTTGCAGATATCAACCATGTTTACCATCTATCTAAGACCTTATTAATAAGTATTTGGAAGCTACAGGTCAACTTCCAGTAAAAAAGGGAAAGGCCAAGAACTGAATTTCCTTATTTTATTAATTTTAAATGAATGTGCAAGGTTTGGAAATGATAGATTTCAGTGGAATAAGCAAGTTGCTGAAACAAATTTTAGAAGCCTTTCCTATTTCATATTCAGGGGCTTCTATTCAAAGAAAATTCCATGTATATCTTAACTCTGTTGAATTGGTTTTATAGTTATTTAAAAACAAAACCTCAACAATGACTATTATAATATTGAGATATATTTGATATTTATTTAAGGGAAGAGACTTTATTTTAGTTATATTTCTAAGCTGGGACTATGTTTAAACTTCTTTCCAAATATGTTATCATGAAAATTTTCAGTATACAGAAATGCTGGGAAAATAGTACACAGAATATCTATATATCTTCTATCTAGATTGAACAGTGATTGTGGTTACAGTTTATGTATCAGATGATAATTTGTCTATGTCTCTTCCATTGATTTGAGAATAAATTTTGTATGTCATGACACTTCTTTTTTTTCTTATTCTTGTGGACACTTCTTGTAGTGCCGTTAATGGGCAGGCATTTTTTGAGTGGTTTTTAAATTTTATTTTAAAGAGAAAAAGATAAATTTTAAAACAATATAATAGAGTAAAAATAGTTATTGTTTCTGTTTTAAGAATATAGATGTTAGGCCAGGGAGATAGCTCAGTAGAACAAGTGCCTGCCTGGCAAGCGCAGGGTCCTGAGTTCAATCCCCAGTACCGCAAATAGTTATTGTTTCTGTTTTAAGAATATAGATGTTAGGCCGGGGAGATAGCTCAGTAGAACAAGTGCCTGCCTGGCAAGCGCAGGGTCCTGAGTTCAATCCCCAGTACCGCAAAAAAAAAAAAAAAAGACTACAGATGTTATTTGCAGTCTTACATGAAATAAAAAACATCCTTAAAATGCAAAAAAAGACAAAGAAAAAAAAAGAAAATTAAAATCATCTCTTTTATCCCTAAGTAGCACTCTTAATGGAGGTTCTTCCACTCATTAGTCAGTTTGTCTTTTATCTAGATTCTAGTATGAGTCATATTTTAGATGTGCATAACGTTGTCATTAACATCATCTTGTCACTAAGTCCTCTAGACTCTTGAAACCTATACATTATTGATTATGGTGTTATAACTTAATTTAAAAACTATTGTTTTTAAGAGCAGAATATATTTATTAGGGGAAAGAAAGCTGCCGCCTGAGAGAGGGACAGAAGGGGTAACAGAATAGGCTCTCCCCCCTTAAAAACTATTTTAGAGCTCTTTTGTACGTGCTGTTGTAAGCCTCTTCAAATTTTATTATAGAACTATTTTTATTTTTTTGGTGGAACTGGGGATTGAACTCAGGCCCTTGTGCTTGCTGGGAAAGTGATTATTCTACTGAGCTGTCTCCCTGGCCCCTTTTTACTTTTTTTTTTTTCTTTGATTATAAAAGTAAAAATTCAGAAAACTTGTAAGAGTGTAGGACAAGAGTGCTGATATCACTAGGGAAAGTGAACTATGTTTGTAACAATCTATATAATAGAAATTTTATTACAAATACTGTTTTGTAAGCGTTTTTTCCACTTACCATTACAAATAGTTTTCTATGTAGAGTAAAAATCTGTATCACCACTGGGTCCTCAGTTGTCGTAACTCCTGTGCATAAATAACTAGTCTGTGTTGTATGACGGAGCTGTTTTTACTATGCTATCATGAGCAATTCTATCAGTGTTATGCACACTGTTGTGTTTGCTTTTCAACAGGTGTTTGCTTATGATCATTGTTTCTGGTCCATGGATGAATCTGTCCGAGACAAGTACGCAGGTAACAGAGCACAGGATTCTGTTAATTACTGAGGGTACAGAACAGATGGTTCAGTGTATTTACCAAATACTATTGAGGTATAATTGCATGTAACTTTAGAAACCTACACAGAGATCTTGGTATGAGGTGATTTTAAAATTAAATGACTATTGTGCCCAGTGGAGCTGGTCCTGTCCACATTTCCCCACAGCTCACATGGACCAGGAACACATGGTGGGCCCTTAGGGTCCCCTGAGGTGTTAGCAGAGTGGTCTGGGGAGGTTGCTGGTGAGAGGGAAGAAGTGCAGTGGCCAGGAGAGAAGGAATCCTAGAAGGCCTGGTTTTTGCTCTTCAGCATCCCTTTCAAGGTGAGGACACCTTGTAGAGTCCCTCTTTTCTCTCTCTAATGGAGTGAGATGGACCAGCTTCTCTCCAGATGTTCTCAACTGTAACCACCCAAAGCCCTTTTCACCAGAGTCGGAAGTACTGTGATAGCCTTTTATTTTTTAAAATTTATGTATTTGGTACAGGGTCTCGCTTATAGTGATCCTCCTGTTTTCAGCCTCCCCAGCCCTGGGATTGCAGGTGTGTGCCACCACGCCCAGACTCAGTTTCCTGGCTCAGTGCACCCAGAAGTGGGGCCGGCGCAGCATGTGGTACCAGGGATCGAGCCCCAGTGCCTGTGCTTTTCTAAGCAGGCACTTAGTCTGCTGAGCTATTTCACCAGCCCTCTTTTCTTTTTTTCTTTATTGCTCATGTCACCTGTTTCTAAGCAATACCTTTTATTTATTTACTTTTGGTGAGGCCAGATTTTCTGTCTGACCTAGGCTGGGTTTGAACTCCTGAACTCAAGTGATTTATCCCATCTCAGCCTCCCAAATAGCTAGAACTACAGGCATGCACCACTATACCTGGGCTCTGTTTTAGATATTGAGCATCATATTTTATTGACTTCTCTCGAGAAAGATTTATACTATGGCTGTTTCAAAAGGCAAGGTGGCCTTTGGTCTTGCTGACCCATTGATGACTTTAGGGAGCACCTCAAATTTAAAAGGACAAATTCCCTGGTAAATTAATAGCGAATGAGGCATAATGGAATGCATTGCTCAAGGATAGTACCATCCAGAGGTTGCCTGTTTTACGTGAGACTCAGTGAGGTAGATGATTTGTCAGTCTCACATTTTGTTTGCATCATATCTCCTTTGGCCTACGGTAGAGCTTGACTCTTGTCATCTGTGTCCATAATTGAAACCTGAGGGAAATGGGTCTTACTCCTTGTCTTTTTTTTTTTTTTTTCCTTGTCTTAACTGTTATGAATTATAGATTTTATAACCAGAAATTATCTTCTGGGAAAAGAAGAGAGAAGATTATTGTATATGATTTTTCTGAATTCACCGACCCACTAGATAATAGCATTGGCTGGGTGGTATCTAGTTAAATTCAGGTACACCGAGGCCCCAAGATATATTTCTAATATTTGTAATCATTAACTACATAATGAGCAAGTCCTAGCAGTCCTCTGCATTTTAAGGGCTTCTATGCATTATAAGGGACATGTTACTAATTTTCTCCTTGTGTGCTAAGTAGAATAATTTGAATGACATGTAAGTCTTTAGAAGTATTTGTCTTTTAAAAATTGTGTTTGGAGATATTTGAACTGTTCATGCTTGACTCTAGTTCATGACATCCTTTCTCTCACAGGCCAAGACGATGTTTTCAAGTGCCTCGGGGAGAATATTCTTCAGAATGCTTTTGATGGCTATAACGCATGCATCTTTGCCTATGGACAGACAGGTAATGTTAGATACTGTGGATGCACATAAGCAAATATATTTCAATAAAGGAGAAAATAGAACCATGTATACTGAGTAATGTATTGCTGGTTTATTCATTTTCCTTTTTAAGAACTACCACAGATGATGAAAGTAGGTTTTAAATGATTTTTTTTTAACATGTTATTTTTTTTATTTTATTTTATTTTTCCAGACTGAAACATTTTTTTAATATTTTTTAATAATTATTTATACATTTATTTATTGTGTGTGTGGCCAGCTCAGCCCACCAGGGGGCGGGACTGGCTGGCATGTGGTGCTGGGGGATCGAACTGCGGTCCCTGTGATTTGGGAAGCTTGTTCCAAGTAGGTGCTTTAGACCACTGAGCCATCTCTCCAGCCCCTAAATGATTTTTTTAAAATGTGTAGTAAAACCAGGATTAGGGTCCTCTTTCTTTACTGATCTTCTCACATGGCTCTGTTTACTACATTACAGAGCTATGACTGTTGAATGTATTGCTAGCTATGCCTATATGTCATAGTCTAAGGAGCACAAGAGAGAAATGCCAAGAAGAATACACTTTGTTATATTTTACTGGTTGTGACTGATAAGGAGCCTTTTGGCTTCTGTACATAAGTGATTAAGGAGAGAAAATTTATTTAAAGTGAACTAGTTACTTCTATAAGAATGTATCAGAGAGCTCTTCAGCTGCAAACTGCTGTGCTGGCTTCACTGCTGCCCCTGCAGCTCACCAGCTGGAGCTGTCTGGCCCCAGTTCCTCCTCTGTAAAATGCAGATGATGCTAGGCCTCCATGACAGGGTTGTCATGACAAATTACTGTGTGCTCACTTTCGGCCTGGAACATAGGAAGTGGCACCTTAGTACCGTGATATTGATGGAGTGTCAGGTGACAAAAACAGCAATGTGTATGGTTAAGAGTATGTTTGCAAAGTCTTCTATTGAAAATAAAAAAAATTATACTTAATTATCAAAAATTAACAGGTTTTAGATAAGATTATAGCAATTTAATTTTTCCCTTTTCATTTTCCTTAATATATATTCCTATTATAATGAAAATAATTTATATTACAAAAAGAATATTTATGGTTTATACACTATTGCAAGATGGTGGTAAGTTAATTTGCTCTGGGGCCAATAGGGTGAACCTATATATTTTGTGTTATTATTAGTGGTTGGAAACAGTCATGATAATGTTAATTAATTAAATGGCTCTTTCTAGTGTATTTTAGAAAACTTTTCAAACCTTTTTTTAGTTGTCTTAGTGTTTTTTAAATAAGCGGATTAAAATAGGTTTTTTTTTATTTCTAAAACATGTTTATTTTTGACTTTCACATTTGCGATAGGAAAGCTTCTGTATTTTTTTTCTCATTATATTTAGCATGTTTCTTAATTTTGGGCATTTTGCTAAGTGTAGCAATTTAAGCAATGGAAAGAGGATTATGTATGTAAATTTCTCAAAGAGACAGTAATAACTCTGATTTCCAATTTTCAGGGTCTGGAAAATCTTATACTATGATGGGCACAGCCGACCAACCTGGATTAATCCCAAGACTCTGCAGTGGACTCTTTGAACGAACTCAGAAAGAGGAAAATGAAGAGCAGAGTTTTAAAGTAGAAGTATCCTACATGGAAATTTATAATGAAAAAGTTCGAGACCTTCTTGATCCCAAAGGGTAAAATGACTGAGATTTTGTTGTTGTAGCATTCTGGCCTCGTGCAGATGTAATGACTTGGCATGTCAGTGCAGTTTCTACATTGAACTCAGCAGAGAATCACCTACCTGTGGTCTTTGTGGTTTAGTTTTGGTTATGTGGAGTAGGCTTCTGCAGGTAGACCTGGGCTTTTGGACTTAAGAGAGAGGCGTTTGGAGCAAGGGCCAGTGAGTGAGCAGATGTGTTTTTGTATTGTGCTGCCTTTCACAGATTCACCCAAAGCCACAGACAAAAATAGCTACTGAAAGGGAGTCATTAAGTATCAGCATAACTGGTAGTAATTTAAACTATTGTTTTTCTTTTTACCAATAAATTTCAGGTGGAACGCAGCAATTGTTTTGTAGGATGTGAAGTGCAGGAAAGGCATAATCAGAAATAGGAAACCTGATCTTTAGGATAGTTCATTTTAAAGCTTCCTAGAAAAAAAAGCAACAAAACTGCCTATGATTTCTTGGCATCGACTTTGAAGCAGAAGTGGCTCAAAGCATTGGACAGAAATGCTGCTATGACCCTGTAGCTAAAACTGACCTTAGCGAGGATAGCGGAGGTATCTGAGGAAATCTGTTCATTATGCAGAGTTCCCAAGTTCAGATTTTACAGAAGTGCTACAGCATAGAGGGAGTCAGAGATCATGCTCACAGCCCCCAGCCCCCAGCTCCCTCTTTGGGGGTTAGTTTTTTTTTTTTTTTTTCCAGAAGAACAAGAGAGTGGGTTTTCATTTTTAAAATGTTTGGAAATGTATAAAACTTTGATACAGTTTCAGGGTGCTCCAGTCACTTCACTTCATGTAAACTACTGGCAATTTCTAGAGCATTTTGCAAGACTATAGTATGATTGATCAAATTTTGTAATTAAACCTGATGAAGGAAATAGACACATGTGAAATAGACTTGCCATTCATGGTGATCCCTACCCTAAGATATTCACAAGAGGACAGAGAAATGGTTTTATTAATTCTCATCCTTCCTCCTCCCCACTTTTCTTCCCCTACCTTCTCCCCCCACTTCCCCCCACCTTCTCCCTCTTTCTCTCCCTTCCTCCTCCCCCTCCTCCTTCCTCTATCTCTTCTCCTCTCCTTCTCCTCCCCTCCCCCTCCCCTTTCCCCTTCCCCTGATCTCAGTGGTGTCCTTTGCCTGCTTTAGCCCTGCCTTGGTGATGTTTTCACGGTCTTTTTCCGGGGGTGGGGCTGGCATGGCTTGTGGTGCCAGGGATTGAACCTTGGTCCCTGCATTTGCCTAAGCAGGCACTGTGGACCACTGAGCTATCTTGCGTGTCCTTCACTATCATTGTTAATTCACATCTCACCCTGCTTCTTGTTCCATCTTCAGTAAAGGTTCCAGAGTTTGTAGATTTGATCTTGGGTGGAATTTTGAACTGAACCAGAGGAATCCAGATGGTGGTATTTTGGGAGCACTAGGGTCCTTTTTCTTCTTGCATCCCTTAACTGGTCCATAACCCTTTGTTTCTAAATGATAGTATACCTTCTCTGCTTTGTCATTTAATCACATTTACATTTCTCTTTCCCAGACATTGCCTTCCATTTCTCAGAGCCCTTCTTGGAAAATTCTGCAAAGCTGATGGGGACCTTTTTTTTTTTTTTTTTTTATGTTTTCTGCACAAAGAAGGCATAAGCAGATATCTTACCCTTGGTTTCTTGAGGGTCACCTTCGCCATCCTATGTTGTGTGCTATCTGGGTATTGCAAAGTAGGGCCTAGGCTCATGTTGACCACTTCCACCGAGCTGCTTCAGGCTACAGCTTCCTGGCTTCCTGGTGTGACCATAGCCAGGAGGTCAGAGAGCCAGCTGGACTGAGGCTTATGGGTAGCACAAAGGGCAGAAGACATGAAGGGCAGAAGTCCTTCAGTCATTGCGTGGGTGTGGCCTTGAATCTTAGTGATACTTAGTCAAGATGAAACAAGTTCAACTCTCCACCACCCTCTGCTTTCTTTGACAAAGATAATGATCTTTAGGACTTCCTGGGAGATAGAGTTGGCACTTTGTGTTTCTGTATAAACCTTACCTGCCACATTGTGCAGGTTAGAGGAAGAACTCACAGTGTAGACAGAGCAAGATACAGCACAGTGCAGCCTGTTTTGCTTTTTCCCAGAGCAAAGGGATGATTCCACACACATACCTGCTGGATTTTTCCACCGAGTTTGTCCATTTAATAGTTAGGTGACAGCTATTCACATAAGTGTTGAGATTGCCGATTTGAGGATATCTAGCTATTTGATGCAGTTGAGGATGTGGCCAGAGGTGGGAGGTCCTGGCCCAGGTATGCATGTCCCCCCACCTCCCATTGTGTTGCTATGCATGCTGTCCTTTGCGTTGACTACTTTTCCTGCTCCTTCACCCTTTGAGATTGTTACTCCCTCTGAGATGGACTTAGACCTACTCTTTCCAGAAATTGCCAGCAGTATGTCTTCATGCAAACCCTAGTTCTTGGGTTTGCATTCCACAGTGCTGTATAGAATAGCTTGAACTTCACTCACCAGCTTGTTCATAGTCATTAGTGACTTCTTATGCTTCCTGAGTGTAACTTAGGTCTTAGCAGCATGGACTTTGGTTCACATAGCTCTAGTTTTCTCCTTGTTACCCATGGAGCAGGTGCCATTTACTTTTGTGGCTTGGCTTTTATGGGAAATGATGCTATTACCCAGTATCCCAGAGGAGAGTGCTGATAGATTGGATGTCACATTTGAGGTCTCAGGCTGCCGCCTAGCACATAGTGGGCTCTCTATGCAGTGACTGCTGTTAGTTATGTCTGCCCTGAGAGTTTCTTTGGGAAGGGCTGGGCTGGGCGGGGCTAGGATTTCCTTTCTTCTTTTCTTTTTCTTTCTTTTTTAGTGTTTCTTTTTAAATTTAATTTTTTTTTTTTTTAATGTATTTGGTACAGGTCTCACTGAACAGTTCGGACTTGTAATGATCCTCCTGTTTTCCGCCTCCCCAGCACTGGGATTATAGGCATGTGCCTCCATGCCCAGACTCTAGACCTTGGATTTATTTATTTTTTGTGGAACTGGGGATTGAACTCAGACCTTGCGCTTGCCAGGGAAGCTCTTATTCTACTGAGCCATCTCCCTGGCCCCACACCCAGTCTCTAGTTAGTGTTTCTGAAGTCAATATAAATGAATTAAAAAATTAAAGCTTTAAAGATATTCTCATTTGAACCAAACAAGAAGCTCACTTCTTTTTTTAAGTACTTGTTTTACTAATTAAGCCTCTACTATGTATAGTAATGTAATTATGTTTCTTTGCTCAGGACAAAATATAATATACATTATCTTTAAGAAAAAAGAGAAAAAGTCAAAGGAAAAAAAATATTAATAGAATATATTCTGCCATGAGAATTTAAAGTTAAATCAATTTTTGTTCTATATCTACTTCCTCTACAGTCATATTTGACTTTATCTAGGCTAGTGATTAGATACTTGACCACCTGATTTTAAACTAGTTGCTAATAAGTTACATTATTAATCTCAGGACCATAGAAAATTCCAAATCCTTACAAAATGTTAAGTTATAGTTATCTTACTAGAGAGTAATAACATTTTAGATTTCAGCTATTTTCTCATTCCTTAACTGTGTTGCCTACATGAAGGGTTAGTCTATAGTTATTCCTTGTGTCATGTCAACTCCCCTACTTGCTTTCTTTATCATGGGTAACAGTTTCTGTGCTGGTTGTTCATGGTATATATTCTTCAAATCTTTTCTTTCTCCTCCTGTCTTACTTTGTTACTGGCACTCTACTTCCAAGTCATGTACGCAGCACATTGAGTCCTCTGTAGCACCTTTACTTATTTTTACTCTTTTGAGCCAAGTTTATTCCCCAATTGACTCTGATGTACCAGGAACTGTGCTGGGAGTTGCAGACCCCCAAGCTAGTAAGACATTATTCTTGTTCTTCTGGAGCCCAGCATCCACTAACAAATGGATATACATAAACTAATACTGTAAGGATTAGGAGAATTTGAGAGAGAAAGGGCAGATTATATTCATGAGAATATATATCAAGTCCGTGAAAGTGGACCTGTTTTCTCAGACATCAAAGAATTGCCACAAAACTTTAAGCATTCTGATTCTTTACTTACTTTTAAGAGGCAGTATTTTGTAGTCAGAACGAATACATATTATAGTTTGGATAACTAAAATAACAAAGTAGGGGGTTGGGGAGATAGCTCAGTAGAATAAGTGCTTCCCTGGCAAGCGCAAGGGCCTGAGTTCAATCCCCAGTTCCACCAAAAAAAAAAAAAAAAAAAAAAAAATCAAATTATATGGGCTGGTGAGATGGCTCAGTCGTCTAAAGCACCTACTTAGAACAAGCTTAGCAAAGCACAGGGACCATGGTTCGATCCCCCAGCACCACATGCCAGCCAGCCCCACCCCCTGGTGGGCTGAGCTGCCCCCCCCACAAATAAATAAAATTAAAAAAATAAATAAATAAAATAAAATAACAAAGTAGGAATCACCTGAAATCTCACTGTCCCCAGTTATTCCTTTTGAAAAATTTTATTTTTAATTGAAAAAAGTTGCATCTGTCTGTAAAGCACAGTGTGATGTTCTGATACCTATGCTGTTGTGGAGTGGCTGAACTAGTGAACACATCCATCACTCGCACACTTACCCAGTTGTCCCCTTTACACTGTACCCTTCAGCAGACATCTCAACAAATGCTTAATAGCTTTTGGCTTATAGCATATAATGTACTATATAATCTCGGTTTTTGGCAAATGCTCTTCACTGGGTTTCTCAGTTCATTTTTTCTAAGAGGCTGGCTCATATTTAAAAATATAAAATTACATTTAATTTTCATTTTTATTGTATCCTTTCTCATACATTTATTGAAGTGGTCATACTTTGTCCCCTGGTAGTCCACCAGTGATGAAGTCTGTGGCTTTCCTGTGCAGCATTCAGGCAGCCTCACAAGCGTGGGATAAGCCCAGTGTTGTGTTTTTAAACCATTATTAGATTCATTTTGCTGTCTTTGTTTCTTTGTCTTTATTTGTGATTAAGCTGGATCTGTAATTTTCCTTTCCTGCGCAGTTAACGTTTATTGAATTTCCATCTTTGTGCCACATTCTGTGATATGACAAGTAGATTGTTTGTATTTATTTGACTCTGCATTCTTTATCGTAGTAAATAGACATCCCACAGTTTACCCTTTTGAGTGATGTGATATTTAGCACATTATGGAGTTTTTGTTTCCAGTGAAGTTTTGAAAGTTTGGTTTAAATTCTTCAGGGATCAAGTCAGTTGGTTTTATTTACTTAGGATCTTTCTTGAATTAAATATATATATATATTTCCATGAAACAAGGTTGAACCTTTAAAAAACGATCATTCTTAACAAATGTTTTCTTCGTTTTCCTGAACAGAAGCCGCCAAACATTGAAAGTCAGGGAGCACAGTGTACTGGGACCCTATGTGGATGGACTTTCTAAACTGGCTGTCACAAGCTACAAGGTAACAGTGTCCTTTCTGTGAACTAACTTTTGTGCAGTTTTCAGTTTGATTTAAAAAAAAAATTAAATTGATAATAACATCACTTAGTAAATCATTGTTTACAAAGGAATCTTTAGAATGAGATAGTAGAGTAGGAAACTGGAGAGTTTGGGACTATGTGCGATGAAGCTTGGACATTAAGCTTGCCAGACTTCATGGCTCCAAAATGGATGGGATGGACTAGAGACTGTAAACTTACCTCTTGCCGCCTTTCTGCTCTGGCTCTTTCTCAACATTTTTCTTTTTCTCAGTTAAATTTTTTTGAGGTCTTTTGTTTATCTTGCTAAATTTTCTTTAAACACTTTTTTTCTTTGTACTTAGAATCTTGTGATCTTCAGAGTTGTTCATGTATGTAAGTCATTTTAGGATTATGGTCTGCTGCATATAACATAAAAATATAATAGGATTGAGGTTTGTGAATTGAATTACTACCCGTTTTGTTCATTGTGTATTTTCAGTATCTAGAAGTACCTGGAATATGGTACATGCTCTTCATACACATTTGAGTAAATGAATGAGAATGGTGAAATAAACAAGGCTTTTCATGTAAGATGTCTGGAGGAAGCTGCTCTAGGACGGCTCTAAAATGTCATTCCTTTCCCACTCCAAATAGAGAGAGGTGGTAATGACAGTGTTCTCATACTTCAAGATGGCTGCCTCTTACAGTCAAACTGTGATCACAAGCCTATTCCCTTTCAGGAAAGTGGACCTGGTGATCTGTGTTGTACTGTGTGCTAACATTTAGTCGCGCGGCCTGGCCTGTGTTGCAAGGGCGTCTTAGCCCTTAGCTCTCCCACAGGGTGCATAGTCAGCATTCCATTATGGGGTAGAAAAGACTGGATCATGGTAGGCTTCTGCACATCCATTTCATACATGGGCCTTGCACGTGCTAAGCAAGCACTATATCATTGAGCTACACTCATGGCCCAGGTAGAGGATTTTAAAGCTTTCTATTATGAGTAATGAAACTAAAATTCACATTGATTAAGTAACTAGTTTTAGGACTTATAACATTTTTGAAATGAAAATTCTGTGACCTGTTATGTAATGTTGTCTCTTTTTTTAGCAGTAATTGCAACCAAGTAGCAAATTTGTACAGAAAATTAGTCTCTTGATGTTTTCATTTGTAGGTACAGATCTACTGTGATGATATATGGTAATATGTTTGCATGAGAGGTTACAAGTCATTTCTATTTTTTTTTTATTTTTATAATCTGATTTTTAAAATTTTTTTGTATTTTAGGGAAGGGTCTACAGGGTGTTTAGGATCTCACTATTAGATGGGACTTGTAGTGATCCGCCTGTTTACAGCCTCCCAAGAGCTGGAATTATAGGTGTGCGCCACCATGCCCAGTCTTAATTGCTGTCTCAACGTACCCCAGGGGCGGGGCTGGCACAGCAGAGCCAAGGATTGAACCCCCGGCCCCTGTGCCTGCTTGCAGGCACTTTAATCCGCTGAGTTATTTGGCCAGCCCCATTTGATTTATTTTTTTATTTTTAAATTTTTTTGGTGCCAGGGATTGAACTCAGGACCTTGTGCTTGCCAGGCAAACAGTTATTGCCTGAGCTATCTCCCCAGCCCTTGATTTACTTTTAACAATATACTTGTAGTGTTTTTGTAATTAAAGAGACTAAGTTTTTTCAATTTTTTTTTTTGGTACCGGGAATCGAACTCAGGACTTGGTGCTTGCCAGGCAGGCACTTGTGCTGCTGAGCTATATCCCTGGACCTTCAAATTTCTGAAGTAGATGAGTATTGGGATAGAATATTTGTCTGTCTTGTGTGATTCAGTAATGTAGCTTCTAAACTTTCCTGCCTGAGTCAAGGCTGCCACTTTCTTCTGCAGCTACAGAAAATAATACTTGAGTTTAATTTTAGAGACAGTGTCAGCTCTTTTGTTCTGTGGGGCTTAATGTTCACTTAAAAATAAGATGCAAACGGCAAATGTTGTTGACTAGTAAAATTTGTATGCATTTCACAGCACAGCTGAGTTTTCATGTTTGTTACACAGATAATGAGGTACATGTCTATGACTTGTTTTCACTTAGGATATTGAGTCTTTGATGTCTGAGGGTAACAAATCTCGGACAGTTGCTGCAACCAACATGAATGAGGAGAGCAGCCGATCCCATGCAGTCTTCAAAATTACCCTCACACATACACTGTATGATGTGAAGTCTGGGGTAGGTATTCACGTGCATTACCTTTTAGCTTCTGAAGTGATCGTGGTTTATGTTATTCTCATTTGATGAATTCAGATAGTAGCCAGACTCATGTCAATTAAGACTAGACAAGCAGTAGCAGCCATGTTAGTGATCTAGGGATTTAGGGCTTTAACATAGAATCCTAGGTGACTGGGGAGTTGTCAGAATAGCTGAGAAGGAGTGGGTGCTTGACAGAGTTTCTAGGAATGCTTCCCAGAACCACACAGATCTGCTTCCTGAGAATGGTGCCATCTTTGAGGACCTCCTAGAGCTTTGGGTTCGAGGTGTACCCTATAGCTGTGATGATCAAGAAGCAGAAATAAAGAAGTTGCCCCTGTCAAGAAGGCTGAGTCTTAGCACCCTAGAGGCTGGAGCATGTGCTGGGAAACTAGTGCGAGACCTCAGCTTGCCATGATCCTGCCTGCCAGCGCAGAGAACCAAAAAGGGCCACTGCATCTGTTGTCCAGGCCTTCGGCAAGAGGCTCTGATGGACGGAACTTGTGCCCTTCCCAGCCCCTGCCTGCATGGGAGATGCTGTAGGGACATGAGCTTTGTTGTTTTTGGGGTGGGGTGGGGGGGTGGGGGGGGGGACATGAGCTTTGGCTCTCACCCTCTGCAACTAGAGGACAGAGGAACTGAAGCCATGCAGCTCACGAGCTGTAGTCCCAGCTCAGCAGCCTGGGGCTTTGCCTCTGCTACTGGCCAAGGGCATCATAATGCAGCGGCCGATTTAGTGGAGGTTCTTCTGCTAAACAGCTATTATTGGAAAGAATAACTCACCCTGGGGAAATTGTGTGATTCAAAAATTTATAAAGTTCCTGGATTTGGTAGAATAATTTTCTGAGTATTTGATTTGGAACCTGGTGAAGAATAAACTGAAACTGAGTCAGAGACATTAACGCTTTGCCTCATTGAGGACTTCTTTGTTGACCCATATGTTTCTGCTTTCTGTCTCTTAATGGGAAGTTTCACGTATTTTGTTATGATGCCCACCCCTTGGTGTGTCAGTTTCAAATATCAGAAGCTGAAATAATCACCCTGGCATAGTGCTATATTTTGGCAGGATTTCCATTTGCTTGAAAGCATGTTTTTCTCTTTTTTTTAACCATCACAGCAAGATTAGTATAACAACAAAAAGTTCTTTGTTTTCTATTTTCTTTTCAGCATAAGACAAAAAACATACTGAAGACACTTTATTTTTAGTGAAAATTACTTTTTATTTGGGAAGTAATTTTATTTGCTGAATATTGTTTTGTAAGCAACATGTTAATTTTATGGAAATAAATGTACATGTATGTTTGAAGGGAAAGTTTAGAAATGACCCAATGTATAGACTTTGTCACTGGCTTTCTTTGTTTTGCTGCTGAAATATATATAGAATATCCATTTCATGTACATACTGTGATAAACATTGTATTGTGTATATATTTAAAGTGTCTTAATTAAAATTAGCATAAATCTAGAAGCTGAAAGTATGAAATAAAAGGGAGTTACTATACTGTGTATGAATCAAATGATATACGTTAGAAAGTGTTTTGAGTTTTTGAGGGTTTCTTTTATTGTATAAAAGTCAGATTACTATTTTTGCATCAGTAAGAATATTAGTATTTTGCCTTAGGATTACTGGTAAACTGGGTGTGGTAGTACACACCTCTAATCCCAGGACTCAGGAGATTGAAGGATTGCTGCAAGTTTAAAGCCAGTCTGGGCTACATAGTAAGTTCAAGGCTGGTGGAAAGTACATAGTGAGACCCTGTCTCAAAGGGGAAGGGGATGATGACGATGATCACTGGTAAATATAAAAATTGACGCATAGTTTCAAATCATATTAAAATACACGAAGTACTTTTGTTGACCTTTTTTTCTTTGCAGTACTAGATACTGAACTCAGGGAAATACTGAACTACATTCCCACCCCTTTTTATTATTTTATTTTGAGGCAAGGTCTCCCTGAGTTACTGAAATAGGCCTGAAACATGTGATCCTCCTGCCTCAGCTTCCCAAGTAGCTACATTTGTAGATGTGTGCCATCAGGCCTGGCTCTTCTCTGAAAACTTGTATTTGCTTCCTTCCAAATGTCTTCATTTTGAAGGACTATTTTTCTGAGATAACTGTCACTCTGTCTAGATTAGTAGAGATCTGCTGTATCATTGCTAGATAATACAATTTTCTTACAGTGTTCTATAGCAGCACATAATTTTGTAATAACAGCAAATTAATAAAGGATTTATATAATGAATCCATTTATTTGGGACAGCCTACCCTCTGCATTGTCTGGGTGCTTACTGGTGTATATCCATTTGCTTCACAGACATCTGGGGAGAAAGTGGGCAAACTGAGCTTGGTTGATTTAGCTGGCAGTGAACGAGCAACAAAAACGGGAGCTGCTGGCGACAGGCTAAAGGAGGGCAGCAACATTAACAAGTAAGTTTCCTGAAACTTAGTCTTCTGCTTTGCGGAGCTAACAGGGAGCCAAATAGGGGAACATCTGTGGTTATCTGGGCTGGTTAAGGCTGCTCTGTAGTTTGGATTTGCTTTGTGTTTTCCATGGTCCCAGACTCTCGTTATACCCTGTGGAGCCGTTTGATGGGGCTTAGGAATACAGACTCCGTGGAGTCAGGCTTCCTCAGCAGTGGCCCTGTTGACTTTGGGTCTGGTCATTCTTCCTCCTGGGGTGGGAGTGGGGGGCCCAGAGCATTGTAGGGTGTTAGCAGCATCTCTGACGTCCGCCCACTAGATGGTACTAGTGCTATCCCACCCCAGCTGTGACCGCACAGATTCTTGGTGGCTTGCAGCTCCCTGTGAGGGCCACTACCCTCCAGCTAAGAACCACTGTTCCAAGGTACAGGAAAGGATGACAGTCAGTCTCAGGGGCCAGCTGGTGATTGTGACCCAAGTTACAGTCTTAAACAGACACTGTGTACTAGCAACATTGGGCTGGCCCACTCACTGCTATTGTTGTGTTTGTCCAAGTCCAAGAAGCTGACTTGGAATAATGAAGTAATATTTTGTTCACCAAGTCCTTCATGAGGTTATATTTTTCTCTCAAGCTAGACTGGTAGCTTCCTGTGGGCTGGAGATTATCTGTCTTCACAGTCCCATGAGGACGTGGACTGAGTCATTAGTGGGCAACTAGAGATTACAGGACACCTCATCCAGGTGCCATGCTGTTGTTATTGAATCATACAGATGTAAATTTTGCTTGTCTTAGGTTTTAATTATTATCTTGGGGCTTCTTTCTTGAAAATACAGTGTTTATTTTAGTACATGGACTTAAGTTTTATAGCTTCCATTTTTATCTACAAATATGAAAAAAACTGGGCTAAGTATCCTCATTGCTTGACCTAGTTAGTATTAGATGGACAGCAGGTCTTTATAGACTTTGTTTTTTCAGACTGAGCAGCAAATTGCTGACCACAGTGCTGTTCTTGTGGATGGCCAAGGGTGTTCCATTTTGTGCTAAAATATGACATTTGCTATTCTCCAGGTTTTGTAATATTATGGTTTGTTGTACCATGCAGGTCCCTCACGACCCTCGGTCTGGTTATCTCAGCCTTAGCAGATCAGGGTGCTGGCAAAAACAAAAATAAATTTGTTCCATACCGTGACTCAGTTCTCACATGGCTGCTCAAAGTAAGTTTTTTTCCTTTTTCTGACATACCTTTGGTGGTTGGCACAAGAATAAAAAGTAAATTATTAATCTTTTCTGGTTACAACTTCCTCCAGTGTTCCTGTTTGTGATTATTAGACTGTTAAGATGATCACAATTTTCAAGGTCTGAGCGGGTATGGGTTTCTTCCTGGTATTACGTGCACGTCCCCCCAGAGCCTGTGTGCCAGGGTCTGCTGGGCACACTTGAGTCACACAGTTGCTCCTGGAGATTTGTGGGAAGGAGGAGGAACAAGCGCTAATGTGATAGCTGAGCAAAGTCATAGAAGAGGAGCGTGCTCGGCCTGATGCTCTCCACTGGGCTGCTCGCTCTTCTCACAGGTCCTTTCTTTGATAGTTTGGTCCTTGTCTTCTGTTTAACTTGATTCATGATCATTTGATTGGTTTTCACTTTCTTAGAGGTGTTGTTGAAGGGTATGAAGTAAGCACACATTCACTGATGAGTTCATTAATGTGTGTGGGTGAGGTGGAAATGAAGCGTGTCTGAGGAGAGTGGAAGGAGAGGTAGCCACTCCTGGGTCTCCATGGCTCAATTTCCAGGAAGGGAGATGAGCTGTGCCCACCGAACAGGCTGGTGACAGAGAGGGCAGTTCCGTGGAATTGGAGCTCTGTGACAGAAGTGCAACTATTTCTAGGCTTTCCCCAGCTTTTCTTAGTCTTCAGAGAAGTGGTGCAGTGAAGGGGACATCATCTGGGTAAAGGGATAGAGCTTTGAGTGACAATTTGTATAACTGCATCACTGAACAGAATCTTCTACCCACTTGCCTAATAATGGTTTCTGCTTTTAAAAAATGGAGAAATAATTTTGTGTGTCCTGTTTGCTTTTGTGGTGGCTCCTTTTCTCATTGGTAAAAATTTACTGAACCCCTGTTGCTTACTGTGTGAAGGGTTGAAACCATGAAATGAATGGAACACAGGCCAAGAACCAAATGAGGGCACAGCTATTGCCGAAGTCTGCGTGTTCAGGAAGCAGCCTTTGTGAGGGGAAGCACATTCTATCTCCTGGTTTATACTGTCCCAGAGACTGTAAATTGTGTCTAGTAGATATCTAGTAAACAGCAGGCAGTACTAGACAACTTCTTAAACCAAAACCTTGCACATCATTTCAGTGCTTTGTCCAGTGAAACCTTTCTGTATGTAAACATCAGTAAGTTCTGTTTAAATGTAATGCTAAAACTCGATAAATTTACCAGAGTAGAAAATAGGGTAGGTTATTTCCCTTGGCCAGAATATAATAAAATTAGAAATTTATGACAAAAGGAAAAAAAATTTTTGATCATTAAAAACCATGGGAGGGGGCCAGGATGTTGGCTCAGTGGAATAAGCGCTTCCCTGGCAAGTGCAAGGGCCTGAGTTCAATCCCTGGTTCCGCTAAAAAAACAACAACAACAACAACAAAAAAAAAACCAACCATGTGAGTAGATTTTGCAGTCACTTTACTCCCAAGGAATATGTCAGGCATTAACCTCATCATCTCACTTTTTTCCAGAAGAAATCTTGCTATTTATTTCCTCCCCAGATCATCCACAGAAACATTTTCTGATCATACATAACCATTTCTTTGATCTTCTGGTTTGAAAGTGAGAATATGTGTTATTCATGTTCCGTTGCTCCTTCAGTCTATGAGAAACAATAGGGACTGCCTTTTGTTAGTTTAGCTGGCAATCATTAATGGCCTAGGTAGTGAGAGGCCACCCCTGGTGGGCCCTAGAAGAGCCAGTTTGAGCAGAATCAGGTGCCTGCCAAGGGATTCTGTCAGGTGGCAGAAAGTGAATGGTGGTTTCCCATTCTTCAGAAAAGCAAAGGATGCAAAACCCACAGATGGCAGCATCAAGCCTGGAGTCCAGGTGAATTCACTGCTCACCTCTTAGGAGACGTACTTGATTTTACCAGTGTGTGATAGGAGACAGTGAAGAAAAACTGTCCGTAATACTATAAGAACGGAACAAAAAGTCTTTTTAAAAAGCTCAGTTTCTGTGCCCCCCCCAAACTTGTGTATAATTTAGTAGGTTATTGGAATTTCCGTGTGTTAAGTCTCAGGTTAAAAAATAAATCAAGTGTTTGTTTGACTTTTGTTGTTATTTTTTCCTTAAGTTCTTCTGTGACCTTTTTAAGATAATGTTTTACTTTTGCACCAAGATCATAAATAAGAGCACTTTTACAAAAGAATTCCAGAGCTTTCAGGTCCCTGTTGCTTTTTTCTTCTCGAATTCTTGGTCCGCTTTCCCTGATCCTTGTACCACACATATAGGATTGTCCTATTCCCCAGGGTAACTTCCACTCAACTCATGAAATTACAGTTTCTTTTACATTATGTTTTTGTAATAATTGTGTTGTGATCTTGATTGCATCCTTCAAACCTGAGCCTTAGATAGTCAACCCCCATTTTCCCTTCTTATTACCACTACCCTAATGGAGGCCACTTTTATCTTTGCCTAGAGGACAGACATTGCCTTCCTGCTTGCTCGCTCGCTCGCTCGCTCGCTCGCTTTCTTTCTTTCTTTCTTTCTTTCTTTCTTTCTTTCTTTCTTTCATGAGCAGAACATATTTACTGGGGGAAAGAAAGCTCCTGTCTAAGAGAGGGACAGGAGGGGGGCCTGAGTGGGTTGTCTCCCTTCCAGCTTCCTTAGTCAAATCCCTTCTCAGACTTAGGCTACATTTTAAATTAACATTCCTGTCCCCAGGCCCTTAGAATCAAGTCCAAATTCTTCAACCATTTTTGACTTACAAGGCCCTTCATAGCCCTATCCCTCCTTGCTTCTAATTGTTCCTCTTTTGCTTCCTGCTATTATAAATTCTAGCTAAGTGAAGAGTGCTGAGTGACTTCTAGGGCTTCCTCTTCTGGTTGTTGCATTCCCCCCACCCCTCTAAAGTCCCCTTCCATCCCCTCCTTCCCTGCATAGTGCTTGTTCACCTGTAGGTCTCAAAGGCTACCACCCTGGGAGTCTTCCTAGCCCCAGAGCTGGCCTTCTGACCTTTGTTCTGCCCAATCATGCCAATCATTTTGTATTTAGCCCCATTTAGTTCTTTTCATAGAGTACTTACTTATCTTTTCCTGAAGAGTTGAGTCAGGAGCAATTTCAGCCCTTTTCTGAACCAGCTTTATGATTTCAATGAGTCTTACCAGTCTTCCTGGGTCTCAATTTCTCATCTGTGAAATGAAGTAATTTGATTTGATGACTTCAGAGTTCATTCAGCCTTGAAAAATTCTGACTCCCCAAATTAAATTTCTTTCTAGTGTCCATTTAATTTGCAGTTGATACATTGAAACAAAGCTCATCTGATTTGCCTAATTAGACAATTAAAGAGTAAACAAGAAGCTTTATCCTTTCTCCTTGAATGGGTGCCAGTTCTTTTGTTACTATTTCCTTTTTGCTAATGGCACAAGACCATTTTCTAATATAAGCTTACTGTTGCCCCATGAACAAGGGCTTTTCTCATATAGAGCCTTGCTGTTTGCCAGGTTTCCTTTTCTCAGCATTAACTACAGCACCATACACACTGTTTTCCTTTGGTAGTTGCTGTTAGAAATCTCCTTTCCTGTTCTTTTTTTGCTACTCATGTTGGTTGGCAGTTTGCAGTAAGCATTGGTGCTCCTGGGGAATGGAATTACAGTACGAGATTTAGTTCCTGTGATCTTTTCCCATCACGTCTGAATCTGATTAATATGTATAGGACTCTGGATGACATTTTTCTAGAAGTTGCCAAATCTGGGGCATCAGGATTATGAGATCAGTGTCTGTCTAGAAGTAATGGAATGAAATGAGCAGTAATTGCTTTTACTTTCTGAAGTCCAGATTAGTTATATTTCCTGCCTTTTCATTACCTCGAAGTATAATTTCTACAATATGATTGTTTTCTTTGGAAACCAAAATTTCAGTAATGGTTGAGTAAGCAGACGTTGTCTGTAGTTATGTAGAACTGTTAGTAATATCTAGTGTTTCCAACACTAGGACAAATTAATTAGGAATGGTATGGGGTCATCTGACTTAATCCTCATGTCTGAACTTCCTGTGACTACCTGTGTATTGTGGGTAGTTGAGGTTGTAGACGAGAGGAAAGGTAATGGATTTAAAAGCAGAATACAGATCGGAAGTAGTTTATTATTGAGTTTACCAGTTCTGAATTTTTTACCAGTTCGAACTTGGGACCTTTCATTTGCCAAGCAGGTGCTATCCTACTACGCTGTATCCCTGGCGTAGTTCTCAATTTTTAGGCAAGGTATTTACCTCTTTTGTCAGAACAATCCTGTTTTTCCATTGACAAAAGTGGAATACTAATAATTAATTTCATCAAAGCCTTAAAAGTATGCACAAGATTATATAAATCAGATTGCTAGAGCAGATTTTATATAAATTGAAATTGTAATGACTTTATATCTTTAAAACTAAGAATTTTCTCTAGGTTAATGCTACCCAGACATAGTAAGGTTTTCGCTAATCTAGTGACTTAATTGCTATTGGCCTCAGGCTTTTTTTTTTTTTTTCCAGAAAAGAATATTTTTTTATTCAAGTAACTGCAAATAGGAAACCAGAGGGGGAGCTCCAGGCTGGGACAAATAATGGCCACCCTCCCCAACAGAACAAGGGGAGCTAGTGGCCCCTACACCCTTCCATAGTCGACATGGCCCCTCCTTACTGTGCAGCAGCATCCAGGGAGCAGCACCCCACCTTCCTTGGGATGAGGTGCTCTGCAGCCAGCCTGGGCACCCCCACCCCAACTTGGGGAGGAAACAGGGCAGAACAGGAGGCAATGAGGATGAACATCTGGTGCTGATGGCAGCAGCAATGACAAATGTCTAAGAGTGAAACATTGAACAAAAAGCCAATACAACTGTCCAGAGGTAGTTGGGAGGAAAAGATGGAACCAGAACCTTGGGGGAGGGGAGCTGAGGGGTGGGGAACATGGGGCAGGCTTGGTGTTGGCGCCCTCCCAGGGTCAGCAGCTGCAGTGAAAGCTGGAGGGTGTGTGCAAGCCTAGCCTTAGGCAGCTGCCAGAAGGGCCCTGGGCCTCACCTGAGCAGGTGAGGGCCAGCTGCTCTCGAGGGTGTGGCACGAAGAGCAGGACCTCTGGCTCTTGCACCTTCCTGTACCCCAGGAGGTGTCCAACTTGGGGACTGACTAGGAAGGCTGGGAAGGAACAGGAGGGTGAGCCCTACTGGGTAAGACTGGCTAGGGCATTTAGGGGGCTACCAGCACAGTGGGGTGGGGCGTTGCAAGCGTGTGATGGGGTAAGGACCCCTTAAGGGCAGGGGAGCCCTCCCAGGCCCCTAGAGGGGAAATCAGAGGGAACAGGGAGGAATGGAAGGTTCCAGAGCAGTGACCACGAGGCAGCGGGCGCAGGGGTATGGGGAGCGGCTAAGCAGATATTAGCCTTGTCCAGGACGGCAAGTGTGTGCCAGCAGGGACTGCTCTGACCTCAGAGTCGCAGCACTGGTGTGCTGTAGTGTGGGGCGGGGCAGGGTGACAGGCCTGGGGCGGGGCCAAGCTGTCCTCCCAGGAGGAAGTCTCTCCTCCTGGGGGGGGGGGCGCTCGGGTCTCCGCTCCTCCTCTGAGGACTCCTCAAGATTCCCTCCTCTTCCTCCTTCTCCAGTTTTTTAGGTCTGCCCCGTGATTTCCTTCCTGGAGCCATGGTAGTTTTCCAGATCTTGGTAGCTCCCTTGTTTTTGCTCCCCTTTGGTCGGCCTCAAAGTCTCTTAGGGGTTGGCACTTCACTGGGCTCCTTTGGAGGTTGCTTGCGTGGCCTGCCCCGGCCTCGCTTCTCAGTGCTCTCCTTTTCCTGCTTGGAAGCCAGGGGCTGACTGGACTTGGAGCTTGACTTGCTCATCTTCCTTCTCTCTGGGCAGGTGGAACGCTGCTGGGATGGCCTTCTTGGAGAAGCGCCAGTGCCAGAAATAACCCCGGCTCGGAGTCCCAGTTAGGCATTTTTTTCTTAATTTTAAAAAATCTGACTCTGATGGCAGGACTTGAATCACTGATGTAGCCCAGACTGACCTCCAAGTTGTGGTAGTTCTCCAGCCACAGCCTCCAGAGTGTGGATAAGTGTGTGCCGTTGTGCCTGACTTTTTTCCTCTAACTTGAACATCTGCTATTCAGTGACATTCTGACACTTAAAGCCATCCATTTGCCCATTCTGTTTCCTTCTCCTCCTTGTCTCTGTCTTTATCTAATTCTTGTTAATGTGGGGCAATATATTAGTGTGTAAATAGTTCTCTATTGCTTTGTAACACATTGCTAGAGAACTTAATAGCAGGGAATAATAGTCGTGTGTCTTCTGGTAGTTCCCGGGTCAGCTGAACAAAGTGGTCTGGCTGGGTCTCTTGGGGCTGCAGGCCAGGGTCGGCAGGAGCTGTGGGCATCTCGGGCCTGGACCTGGAAGGAGATGTCTGCTTGCTTACACAGTTGTGAGCAGGCTTCTAAACCCACTCATGTGGGTGTCCTCATAGGACTACCTCATGACAGCTGTTCTCCAGAGCAGAGACAATGCCCAAGACAGAAATCGCCATCTCATTTTAATGACACCTCAGAAGGGACATGCCATCACCTGCATTGTAGTCTTCTCATTAGAGGTTGTTCAGCAAGGGCTAGCCACACTCATGGCAAGGGAACAATACCAGGAGACAAATGCCAAGTGGCAGGGATGGCTGGGTGCTGTCTTACAGGCTGCCTGCCACAGACCGGTCATAGTCTGTTGTATGGTGAGGTAGAGTGCAGTGGACTTGATGTGCCAAGTCCAGTTTTGAATTTCTGAGTTGTGTCTTTGTCCCCTCCTTTGAGCCTTGCCGCTCTCTCTGTCTTCCTTTCTCCCTTTGTTCTATCCTTGACTGAATCTAGAGCCTTGTTGGTGCTGAGCAAGAACTCTTCCAGTGAGCAATACTCTAAGCCTCCCATTTCAGTTTGTTTTTTTTTATCCCTTCTGAAGTAAAAGTAGATTTTTTTTTTTTTTGAAGCCAGTTCCAAAGCCTACTTCCCTGTACTTAAACAGCTCTAGGACAGTAAAGATGAGAAATAAGTATTTTGTCTTATTGGCCTTGTCTGAACTGTGAAAGCCATTGTGTAGACCAGGGTTCTCTCCAATCCCCAGGCCATGGACCACTGTTGATATGTGGCCTATTAGGAGCCAGGCCTTAAAGCAGGAGAAGAGCAGCCAGTGCTAGAGAGAGGGATCAAAGCGTCATCTATATTCACCACTGCTTCGCACAACTGGCATTGTGTCTTGGGCTCTGCCTCTGGTCAGATCAGTGGGGCATTGGGCTCTCATAGGAACTTGAACCCTGCTGTGAACCACATACAGGAAGGATCTTGGTTTTACTCCCTGGCCTCAGGCCCTAGAAAAATAGTTTTCCAAGAAACCAGTCTCTGGTACCAAAATTGATAGGGACAACTGGGTAGGTCATGAAGCATGGGTTAGCAGTTTCTGCCAGACTATTAGTAGCCGTATTAGAGGGAAGAAATGCAGTTTCTGTAACATGCCTGTTTTCTCAAGAGACTACTTATACCTGTGTCTTAAAAGCAGGACAGATTCTTAGGAGACAGTACCAGCAGGTGCATAGCAGAAAGATCTTAAGTGGTCACTCTTCGATCAGAGGTCACATAACACTGTACCCATTGAATTTCTCTAAGGGAGATGTAGGCAAAGTTCTTTTCATTCTGAATAGTCTGCTCACTAATGTGTCATGCTGCCTGCCTGCTAATTGAGACAAGTTGATTTATTTTTTAAATTTTTATGTATTTGGTGCATGGTCTTACTATACAGGTTGGACTTGTAGTGATCCTTCTGTTTTAGTCTTCCCTGCTCTGGGTTTACAGGGGTGCACCACCACACCTTGTTTCAGTGCCTGGCTTGGTGCACCCAGGGTGGGGCCAGTGCGGCATGGGGTCGGGGATCAAACTCAGGTCCCTGCACTTGCCAGGCAAATGCTTAGACTGCTGAGCTATCTATTTGACCTTGGCAGTTTTTCTCTTGCTTATTCCCCTTTCTCATGTGGTGACTTCTGACTGTAAACTATTACCCCCACTCACTTTTCTCCCTTCCTGGCAGGACAGTCTGGGGGGCAACAGCAAGACGGCCATGGTGGCTACAGTGAGCCCAGCAGCTGATAACTATGATGAGACCCTCTCCACTCTGCGGTATGCAGATCGAGCCAAGCACATTGTTAACCATGCTGTGGTGAACGAAGATCCCAATGCCCGGATCATCCGGGATCTCCGCGAGGAGGTGGAGAAGCTCCGAGAGCAGCTGACCAAGGCAGAGGTACAAGCGTGCGCAACCTCCTCAAGCTAGGGCTTGAAATGCCTTCTTGGCCTTAAGTGAGAAAGATACTAAGAATCTTTGAATTTCTCCTGGGACAAGAAATTTGAGCTGAGTTTAAAAAGAAGGTTGTCCTATTTGAAATAAAAGGTTGTCCTGTTAGAAATGTTAGGTTTGGAGAGATTGAAAAGATTATAGAAGAGAAGAAAAGGTGTTCAGAAAACGTTTTTTCCATTTCTCTCTGGGCAGCAGATGTGAGAAAAGGCAGAATGGGACAGGGAGAGGAAGAGGTGTGGGGAAGAAAGTGTATGTGATGTAACTTTTGTGCTGAAAATGAGATTGGGCGTGGAGTAACTGAAAAAGGAATCAGTTACTTTTCCTCTTATTTGTTAACTAGTAGAAGTCAGAACAGAGGTCTTCCTCACTTTAACCATATTAAATCCATATTAATAATTTTATATTGTGGGTTAATTTTGTTTATAGAACAATAAACTATATTATGACTGAAATACCCAGTTACTTTACGTAGTAGCACTGTTTCACCTGTCTTCTGTATGTTCTTTTGTGTGGGGATGGTGTTTATGTTCCATTACTGGATTTGAATACCTGCACAATTCTGTCCTCTAACCACGTGCTCTACCAGGGTCAGACAGGATTCCTTCTGTGGTGTTTCTTCTTCCCGGAGCTGGCACCAGAGCCCTCTTTTTTTAACTCAGTTTTTTGATTATAAACCAGTAAAATATATAGTTAAAATAGTTGGTCATGGTTTGCCTGTTGACTTTTGTCTTTTGTTGTTATTGTTTCATTTCACAGTCATTTTACAATTCATTATGGCCCTCTGTCTTTCTGGTATTAATAATACCAGGTTGCAACATGCACACATTTATTCTGTATATGCTTGAATAAATTCTTCTT